ATCCTCTCATTCTAAGCACAGTATGCTCCTGCTATTTTGATGTTATCCTCTCATTCTAAACACAGTACACTCCAGCTATTTTGATGTTACCCTCTCATTCTAAACACAGTACACTCCAGCTAAGTTGATGTCACCCTCTCATTCTTTGGTCACTCAAATGCAATGCTATTTATCCGCCATGGGCTTCTTTCTCCTTCTTCTGTCGCACCGACACAATGTAAACCAGTCACTTCCTGCCCAGTACCTATTCTTCCTTTTGCCAAACCAAACCCTGAAACCCCTAAAACCTTAAAAAAAAACCGCCTAATAACCTCCAGACCTACCGCCACACCGACCACGTGGAGTTCGAGAGCTCGACCGTAGTGAACGAGTTTGTGAACTTTTGGCGCCAAAGTGGGGGTGCTCAACGGATGGGCTATTTATACGGCAGATATGAACCGTACGATGCGGTTCCGTTGGGTATCAAGGCGGTGGTCATGGCTCTGTACGAACCGCCGCAGACCAATGAGAAGGCGTCTCTGAGAGTGGACCCAGAAGCAGCCGCATACACTATGGTGGGTGGGTGGGTGGGTGGGATAGAGAAATGAAGTCTCACTTGTATGTGTGTGTGTGTGTTGGTGTGTATGAATGTATGCATACACGTGCATGTATGCATGTATGCCTGTATGGATATTTGTATCTACTGTACAGTGGAGTGCAGTAGGTAACAAACCGGTGGTCATGCCTATGTATGGATCCCGGCAGACCAGCTAAATGGCTTAAATGAACATACATAAATTGCATCGGTTGAGTCTAATACGGTTGGGTGTTCATCTGTATTCGAGACAAACTCGGCGTATACCGCTGTACAGAACCACAGACTATCTGTATGTATACACTCTCGTACCGGACTGCAGATATGCCCGGTTCTACTACTGAAAGGACTGTGTGCTAAACTCTGTATCTGAATGTTCTCTCCCACAGGCTATAGTCGATCGCGTTGCGGGGTACTTAGGTCTTCAGCGCGTGGGGTGGATTTTCACGGACCTCGAAGACGATAGTACGAACCAAGGCACAGTTCTGTACAAACGGCACGCCGACACATTTTTCCTGTCCTCCCTAGAGGCCATGACGGCCGCTGACTACCAAACAAGCTACCCCAATGCCTGCAAAGACGCGGAAAACGGCTACTTTGGGTCGAAGTTTGTGACCGTGTGTGTGAGTGGGGGTGATACGAATCATGTGGGTCTGGAGGCGTATCAGGTCAGCGATCAGGCCATGGCATTGTATAGAGACGAGTGTCTCAGACCCTCGAGAAAGTATGTGGCGGCATGGGAATACCTGCGTATAGATTTGTTTGTATATGCGTAAAGTTGTTTGTTCATGCGTGTATGGCTGTGTGTATGTGTATAGTTATGTTTATATATGCGTAAAGTTGTTGGTTCATGCGTTTATGGCTGTGTGTATGTGTGTATATTTCAAGTGTATTTGCTTGTATTCTAGATGCACTTGTATACGTGGATAGCTGCTATGTCCCATCCCCCATCCGCTGGGTGTTAGCTGATACTGGCAACTTCGAGCTGGGCTCATTGCGTATATATATTTATGGCATTTGTCATGGGCTGAGTGGGCCATTGACTTCTTGGACTGAATTGGAATTTACGTTCAACTGTTAATTCGGAACCTTCAAACGGTTTGACGTCAGCTCCTAATGTACGTAGTTATGGACACGTCGCGAGCTGTTTGGATATCAAATAGTCTTACGGGTCGTCTCTCCAAGACTGTGGCCTATTGTCGTATTCAAAAACACTACGTATCCACAGTTTTACTTGCTGCCGCGCTTCCTGTGGTTTTTGGTGGTGCATATATCTTTTCGGTTGCTTGTATGGTTCCTTCTTCATAGCTCTTACTAGTACGTTGTGTGGCTTTTGCATTCATCTACAAAGCCATCGCGAGTTGTATAAGCTCTAGTGTTATAACGATGGTGTCCCGTAGTTATCCTGTATGCTTGGTGGTACATATATCTTTTCGGTTGCTTGTATGGTTCCTTCTTCATAGCTCTTACTAGTACGTTGTGTGGCTTTTGCATTCATCTACAAAGCCATCGCGAGTGGTATAAGCTCTAGTGTTAGATGGTGTCCCGTAGTTATCCTGTATGCCCCGATTGTGCTTCGATGGACTGAGTTGAGACGTCTTCGACTGCTACTGCAGGTTTGCGCGTTGTGGAATGTCTGTATGACACTGTTAGTGTGAGAGATGAAGTACAAGCCTGAGTTATCCATTGCAATTCCATCCAAATTCATTCGAAGATGAATTCTTACAAGCACGTATGTAGAAGTATGTACACATCTCTTTATATTATATAGATTGATTCGGAGATGGTGTGTAGTGTGTGGTATGTGGGTTGGTTACCGTACTGTTATTGAACTGCGTCACATAATCCTCTGCTCACAGAATGGGGCGGGGTCGTATTGTGGAGTCGACCAGTGAGCAATACGTACCGGATGTCTTTTATTCGCACAAGAACGAATACGGCGTGGAGGAAACAGTCGCCGCCAAACCCTCACTGCCATTAGACTACCTGCTGGTGAACGTGAGCGTTGGAAGTCCGCAGGTGAGTTGTGTGAAAACGTACTGTTTTCTTTTTTTTACGGATTCGTTCTCTTTCTTTTACGGATTCGTTCTCTTTTCTTTACGGATTCTCAGCGCCTGTCAACAGATGCGCAGAGTGCTACTGTTGTTGTTGTTCGAGGCCCTCATTGTGGAGAGTGTGTGTGTGTGATCCGTTTTGTTTTATGTTGGTATGTCCGCGTACCCACATCGCGGCAAAGCCTCACTTTGACCCGAGCACTGCTGTATACCTTTGCTTTTGAGCTGGTACGAAGCACTTCTGTTATCTCTCGAGTATAGTTACTGTTCCCAGCAACCGCCGTGCGAAGTCCCACAAGTACACAGTCCTATCTCACAGTCCCCTCACTCATTCTCTAGGTACCTACACCAATGTTTACGGCTGCCGAAGGCAACAGCTTCATGCGCGAGCACAGAGAGGCTGTGGGCGATAGTCAGACACTCAAGGCCTTGTCAGCTCACCTGCGCAACGCCCCGTCCTTCCTCACAGCCGTGTCGGACTTCCATCTGCTGTGCTATCTAGCTACGTCGCCGGTGTTTGGCATTGGGGTAAGTGAATGTGTATGTGTATGTGTGGGGTTGTACGTGCAAGTATTCTGTGGATATCTACGTGTATGTATTGTATGGAGATGTGTGTGTGTTTGTCTTGTGTGGCGTACGTGTGTGTATTGGGTAGAGATATATGTGGATGCATTGCGTGGAGGATTACGCCTGTATGTACTTCTCTTTGACTGTGTCATTGTGTGTATGGTTGTGGCTGAACTCGTGCACAATGCTATGTGTACATATTCGTATACATGTATATTTATTCAACCGCATATATGCACCGTTGGCCTTATCTACCTTCACCTCAGGACAAGATCAAGGAGCTGTGTGAGGCTGTCAAAGACAAGAACGTAGCACTGACTAACGAGTGGCGGTCTCTCAACGAATGGAAGACCGTCGAAATGATGATGGACGAACCGGGTAAGCATTGGCGGATACGGTCATGTACAGAATATGCAGTTCACTCAAGATATTGAGTTACCACACGAAATGTTGTTATATACNGAAAAAAATGTTTAACACAATATATATATCATATATATATATACATATATATATATATATATATATATATATATATATATATATATATATATGTGTGTGTGTGTGTGTGTGTGTGTGTGTGT